TTGTAGTCCAAACAAGTCGTTCGTTGTAGTTTTTGAAAAGTGATTTCTGTTAAATAAAATATCTCTTTTTGAAGTGGACTTTGAGCTTTGTAACTTTGCAGATCTTTTTTTATGCTCAAAAAGCAACATTACAGACTAACTAAAGTTGAAAAAGTGAAAAGGCATAATAGCACCCCTTTAAGCAAATTCTGAGTATTCTGCTAAGTGACAGTGAACAGCAGAGGAAGAACCTGGAACTGCGTCTCATTTTTGTATTCATGTATTGGTGTTATCTGATATACATAATAGCAAACACAAAAACCTAAAAGGCTGTTTGAAAACGTGTAAATAATGTTCGACTTCCTTTCTTCTCCATGACAAGCAAGTGTCAGAAAGTTACATAGCGCTTTGTGAATCTGCAATTTCATTCAGCTATCTGCCGTTTTTTACTAAACGGTCTGAAAAGACAAATCACATGCGGAAATCAAGACTGAATTTTTGTGCTGAACAGGCCTTGACTTGCTGTAGTATTTGTGATATATGGCAATGTAATCACATAGAACACCAAAACATCACAGGGAGCTGTAAATGTTCAGCAGCTAACAAACATGGTCATATGCACCCACTCCCTTCATTTTTAGTCATAATGTAAATGATGTAAACAGTTAAACGGACAATGTAAATGATGTAAAAAAAAATCAGCTGGCTTGAGTCTAGTGTATTTAAGTTTGACATGGCATCATTCTGTGACGATATTTGCCTCTTTTTTGAAGCTTGCAAGCGGGACATTATTTTTTTTATCTCTCCTTTTGTGGTGTGAAAAACAAAGGTCATACGGCATTAGAACAACACCGGGGTGAGTAAACAATGACTGAATTCTCATTTGTGTGTGAAAAATCCCTTCAAGAGAGCCCAATCTGCTCCTGAGCAATATGAAGAATGTCAACAAGAGTGAGAACATGAAGGAACAAAAGGCTCAAGTATCAGCTGAAGATGCATTTTCTTCATTTATTGATCTTGTAATATATCCTAAGTTTCCCTGCGCAGGGCTTCAGCATGGCCCACTTCAAACTCGCAGCAGCTGATGAATCAATAATCACGACACATTATACGCAATGTGAAAGGTGTCAGCAGGAGCGGGATTCTCCATTCAAGCTAAGCCCTTTGGAAAAGCATAATCCCAGAGCCGGATAGAGATCCATATATGAGCTCTGAACATTCACCTGCATACAAGGACTATAGAAGGCAAGGGTGTGGGACAGCGCAGGGCACGGGGGTGGACTGCAGTGCCCCATGCCAAGCGCTGGTGGTCATTTGACCAAAACCCATCCAATTAGAGCTGAGTGATGGTGTAGCCTGCTGGAGGCCCCTCCGTCTCTGCGGCAGGGCCAGAGAGAGACACCTGCTTTTATCAGCCAGTGCAGGGAGCACGAGGACTCGCTTTGAAGAAATATTCAACTAATTACGCTGGAGCACCAAGCACAACAAGCGGGAAGATTGCAGGGACCCCGACCATTGTGAAGCAGAAAACTCCAGAGAAGATTTAATCTCCGCACAAAAACAGACATCTCTCATACTGCGAGGCAAGGTCATTGTTCTGAGCGACAGACTGTGAGAGAGAGAAGAAAGAGTACTAGATTCACACTGCAGTGTTTTTCCCCCCTGATGTGTGATGCAGATCTGTTTTTGGATGAGAGTGTAAACGGTTCGAGCCACACTCAATCTGACCATTCCATTCTGGGCCGCTTTCACATTAGGGTTGTGACGGTGAGGAAATTTTCCCACCGGTTAATCGACGTGTGACAACAGCGGTAATACCGGTATCACCGCGGGGACGGGGTGTTCCCTCTTTTCCTCGCTTTTAAAAAGCTTGTAAAATCAGAGAACGAGTGAGCGAGAGAAACACACACACTTTTCTGTCGAGCAGATGTTCTTGTGACGGACAGATAAGAGACGGTGGTGTAGAAGCAGCACCCAAAAGCAGATCAATTATTCATAGAGACAGATCAAGTCATTGCAGGAAGCTGTGAAAGCAGAATATCCTTAATGGCCTTTCACACCCTATTCACCAGAGACAATTAACAGTCACACACCCACCCACTCACAATAATGATCACACTGACGCAATATCACTGCAGACAAAAAAGAAAGAGCAGAATTAAAAATCAGACATGATGCGGCAATATCTACTTATGATCTGTTCCGCATATCACTATAGGTGTTAAATAAACTTAATACACAGTGCTATAGGAATACCTGACTGTCAAAATAGATTACGCTAATCTGTAAAATTAATGTCATCAGGCAACCGTTTTTCACACTTACCCACACTACCATTCATTGTTTTGGTGTCAGTATGATTTTTTTTTTTAAGAAAAAAGAAAAAAAAGAAAGAAAGCAAAACTTTTATTCAACAAAGATGGCTAGAACTGACCAAAAGTGTCAATAAATATATTTAGAATTATATTTTGTAATTACCTCATTTGTTACAAATGATTTCTATTTCAAATAAATGCTGTTCTTTTGAACTTTCTATTTAGCAAATATATTTTTCTATTTATCCTGGAAATAAATAAATAAATAAAAAGTATCACAAACATATTCAGCAGCCCAACTGTTTTCAAATTGATAAAAAGTATAAATGTTTCTTGAGCAGCAAATCAGCATATTAGAATTATTTCTGAAGGTTAATGCGACACTGAAGACTGGAGTAATGATGCTGAAAATTCAGCTTTGCTTCACAGGAATAAATTACTTTTTAAAATATATTCACATAGAAAAATGTTATTATAAATAACATTTCACAATATTATAATTTTTACTGTATTTCTGATCAAATACATGTAGTCTTGGTGCACAGAAGAGACTTCTTTCAAAGAAATAAAAAATAAATAAAATATCACTTGGCACTTTCTTCTCGGATGCCAAAATGATTTCCTGTCAAATCAACATATTGTGAGCATATTGTTATTTATTTGGAAATCAGCCAGCTGATCATTATTGTAAAGAAAGGCAGCTTGACCGCGATGAGAGTGGCGTGCCGACAGTGCAGTAATGGACTTCCAGCATTAGTGCTTTCAGAGAACAGACAGGAAGAGATACCATCCAGCCCTTCCAGCCACAATCTACATCTCCTGACAATCAGCGAAACATCGCACATCCTGACGAAGATCTTAAGACTCCTCGGGAGAGGCATTTCACGTAATACATGAAAATCTGGTGAGTTATGGTGGACGGCTGTGGTTTTTAATGTAACGTAATGTCATTATCTTCACGTACCTGGGGTTTTTTCATGATCTGAACAAAGAACATGTGGTTTTTCATGGGGTAGATGATGATGAGGACATCTCCGAAGTCGGTGGGAATGATTCCTCGTCTGTAATCCCGCGTGTGCTCCGACCACACGATGTGCACTTCATCGTTTCCCAAGTGACGAAGCTATGACCAACCAGAGGCAAAAGCATCAATAAATCTGACATGCAAACCAATAAAATACTGTCAACATTAGTCAGAAACATCATGAGGGCAAAAACAATCACAGACAATCGTTTTCACAGTGCATATGTATTGAAAAACAAATTCTTAGAAAGACCGTGGGCATCAAAAAATAAGACTCAATCTCACAAACCTCTATGTTTTCTTCATGATCAACAATAATTCCAGAAAGAAAAGAAAGACTGTACATTTATTTTAGTACATAACAGCTGAAATTATTTCGGGAATTTTCAATCTGAAGTTAAATGAGCTACAGAAATTGGGTTCATTATGTTTCAATCATTTAAACAAATTGACTTTAGCCAGAAAATTGGACAGATCTTCATTTTACATAAAAATATACACATTTGTAGGAAATGCATTTTTCGGAAGCTAATTTTTGGGACCTCAGGAACATGAAATACATGGGTGCTGAGAGTCTGATTAATATGTTGAAGCACCAGCAAATTTTTAAAATAATTTGTTTAATGTTGTACATGAGGAACACTGTATATCAGAGCAGTGGGCTCAGAGATGTGCTACTACTAGCCAACAATCCTGTAAAGGCTTTTATATTCAGACAGGAGACGCTGAAACAATAACCAGTGGAAATTGGTTCTAGTATGAGTCAGTTCTGATTCAGATATCTAGAGAGCAGAGAGCATTCTGGAAATGACAGGCAGAATGACGACTTCTGTTAATGCTGATAATCTTGCAATAATCTTGAGATTTCCAAATATCAAACAGTTAATCATCAACATTTAATGGCCGAAAAAATCACTTTGAAAAATTACGATATTTGAATTGAACTACACGTTGTTTCAGTAGCAATGTGGTTTTCAAATAACACTGCATTTATGAACACTACTTTTAGGTATTATATGGAGGTAAGATGAACAGAAAATGCTATAAAACAGTCAGTTCCCTTCAGAGATTCAGATATAAAGTCATTCATGCAAATCTGATAAGTTTTGTGTGTCACGAATCAGGGGCGTAGCCATCATTTCAGAAGTGAGGGGGACAGAAATGTAATATATATGTATATATAACATTACAATATAACATTTCTGTAATATATGTATAGCCTATCAGTCAAAAGTTTTTGAACCGTAAGATTTTTAATGTTTTTTAAAGAAGTCTTTTCTGTTCACGAAGCCTGCATTTATTTGATTCAAAGTACAGCAAAAGCAGTAATGCTGTGAAAGATTTTTACTATTTAAAATAACTGTTTTCTATTTGAATATATTTTAAAATGTAATCTATTGCTGTGATCAAAGCTTTCTCACCATTACCAAAATGGTGAGAAATTAAAGTGACCTCTGTAATCAAAAAAGAGGAGTCTTGGAAGCATGTCGCTGCGACGGCGTGGCCTTAAGCGAGCGCCTCTCAATGGGTCGTTAAACATCTGCCGATGTACCCATGCCTAATAAGCCATTACCAAAACATGTCCTCGTCACCAAAAATGCAATTACCACATTTCCCCATAAGCCCTTAATTATGCTAATGGGCTAAAATTAAACAAATCCACAACAAGCTGATTGGGTCGGTGCATACCGATCCATTTGGAGAGTCAGCAGAAGAATTGGCGGCATGTAAACAGGTTGGGCGGAGAGAGGAAATACACAACACATTGTACACATACGCCAGATGCCATTCTCAATGAAAGGGAGCAGATGTTAAAGACCGCAGACTTCTAAGAAACCTGAACTTTAGAATAGGCTTAAGTAGAGCGCCTGTGAAGGTGTTGTGGGTGGTTGCTATGCATTGCTAAAATGTTCCATGCGGTTGCTAGGTTATTCTGGGTGGTTGGTGGATTTTTCCCACACATGCCAATAGAGTCCATCTCTAAAACCTTCTCATGCGCTGGTCTCCAGATATGGCTCAGGTTCTTCCACCAATGAAAGGCTTTGGGATTTTTCTTATGACAACATGATGCAAGACTTTTTAATTAGAAACAAACCTGAAATACATATATATTAAGAATATATATTGTTATTCTGAAGTGCCTATGCTTTACTATAGCCAGCTGTTCATTCAATGAGATGAGGGATATAAAATAAGAGAGATAAAAAAAAAACATTTGCATCATTAAAATACAAAAAAAACATGAAGTAGACATTGTAACAACCTATCAACAGTAGATCACAAGAAATCGCTTGGGATAACTCTACAGTATTCACTGATTACAAACCGTGAGCCTGCAGAAATTATAATTTTTTTAAGAAAAAAAAAGCATATTTATTCACATTATTTTTTTTTTTGGTTAAAGGGATAGTTCACCCAAAAATGAAAATTCTGTCATTAATTACTCACTCTCATGTCGTTCCAAACCTGTAAGAGCTTCGTTCATCTTCAGAACACAAATTAAAATATTTTTGATGAAATCCAAGAGCTTTCTGACTCTGCAAAGATACCAATGGAACTACCACATTCAAGGCCCAGAAAGGTAGTAAGGACATCGTTAAAATATTCCATGTGACATCAGTGGTTCACAAAAATACAAAAAAAAAAAAAAAAAAAAAAAAAACTTTGATCAACAATTTCTTCTCTTCCGTGTCAGTCTTTGACGTGTGTTAACGAGAGTACCACGACACATGCGTGTGCATTCCTCTGCTTGCAAACAAGGTGCAGCGCACCAGGGTTCTATGTCAAAACGCCGGCTCCTGCGTCAGCAGCAACACACGCATGTGTCGTGGTACTGTTGTGAATGCATGTCAAAGACTGACAGAAGAGAGAAGAAATTGTTGAATAAAGTCACTATTTTTGTTTTCTCTGCACACAAAAGGTATTCTCTTAGCTTAATAAAATTATGGTTGAACCATTGATGTCACATGGCCTATTTTAACGATGTTTAATTTCTGTGCCTTGCATGTGGTAGTTCCAGTGGTGTCGATGGAGGGTCAGAAAGCTCTCGGATTTCATCAAAAATATCTTAATTTGTGTTCCGAAGATGAACGAAGGTCTTATGGGTTTGGAACGATGTAAGGGTGAGTAATTACTGACAGAATTTTCGTTTTTAGGTGAACCATCCCTTTAAAAAAGTATTTTTATGTAGAAAAGGTATATCGCCATCCTGCTCCAGCCAGTGACTTAAATGCACCTAACATTGCAATTATTACCTCCTAGCTTGTAAAGACAAACTTCCTAGGAGGATATGAATGCCATCTGAATGGCGTTTGAAGTTTTATGTAGTCGCATTACCACGTTTTCTGTCCCCGCATTTAAGACCTCTAAAATGATCATTTAGACTTTTTTCATTTAAGATAGGACTTTTTACCGCCTTAAATTTGATCAATGTGAAAAATAATGCGTTTTTTAACAAACGAAGCATTAAAACATGTTAGACTGCACCCCATAAACACAATCAAGCCTATAAAAAAAAAAACAGTCAACAACCCCTTTAATTAAGATGTGATTGTTTAAGGCTAAGGATTGTCCAATACTTTGAGTATGAGCAATAATAATAGAGTCATTTGCATTAGCAAACACAAAACTATGAGAATATTAAGCCGCCTTTCCACTATCGGGCCGAACGGTTCTAAGAACTGTCAGGTACGGTTCCAGTTGTATTTTCACGTGAGCCTGGTACGATTACAAACGGTTCTCGGCCCGGTTAGCTACCGTGCCTGAGCCGTGCTGGTAATTATAATAATAATTATAATTAATTATAATTTATGCATTTAGCAGACGCTTGTATCCAAAGCGACTTACAGTGCATTCAGGCTATAAATTTTTTACGTGTGTTCCCTGGGAATCGAACCCACGACCTTTTGCGCTGCTAATGCAATGCTCTACCACTGAGCCACAGGAACATAGATGGTAGAGTGCGTGTGCGGGATGTCGCCACTCTGTTGCCTGGCTACCAGTTTCTCCATAGCTGGCTAAGCGGAAGCGCGCTACTTGATCAAACAGCCAAATAAACAGCTACACTACGTTCAATATAAAAAAGAAAAAAATGTATTTGCTCTTATTGATATTTGGGCATGCATATCCCCTCAGCATTTGTTGGTATACCCGTCGTTGCCTTCTGTTTATTTGATTTTTCACGTCAAGAGTTGTGTCCTTTTTTCTGTTATTTAACAAAGTAAATATCAGCTAAAAAAGGAGTCCCAAAAACAGAAATATGTGATCATCGTCCATATCGCTGTTTACATTACACTTGCGTTACCAAGGCAACGACTGACGCATTTGTATACCATTCCAAAGAGCTCCGTTATCAGCACCACAGTGGAAAATGAAACCGTATCCGTGCTGACTGGCCCGGATCGGCACGGAATGGAACGGTTAAGCAAAGAGAACCCATGTGTGTACGCTCTTAAAAACAAAGGTTCCAAAAGGAGGTTTTCACAGTGATGCCACAGAAGAACCATTTTAGGTTCCCAAAGAACCTTTCAATGAACAGTTCTTGAAAGAACCATGTGTAGAGCATGACATACACATGCACACTGTAAACACACAGACACTGAGCAAAGCAAGAAATGCCCTCAAGCCTAAACGCTGCCTTGTAAAGAAGCTGCGTCTTTCCCTCTGCAACAAAAGAGTGTGTGTGTGTGTGTGTGGTTGGATGACCGGCTGCCTCCTGACACCGTGGCCTCGCGTGGCAACACCCTCCCAGTAACTGCATTACTAGCCCAGCCAGCTGCTCTGCTCCGTTCTGCCCCCCAGCACTCAATTGGATTCAGGAATTCTACTCTTTTTCTCTCTTTGCTTTCCTTGCTGTCGGCTCTTCACCCTTCTTTTCTCTCGCTACCTCTGAAAGTTGCATTTGTAAATTAGAGGAATTACTTCCTGTCTGCCTGTGGCTGATAAAATAGCCCTTTCACCCCTCCCCACACACGTGCCGCCGAACAGTCGCCCTCTCTCGCTGCCAGAGCGGGAGCGCTGCAATTACAGGGCCTGATGGCCAAAATGAATCGAGCACGGCTCGCGGCACACACACTCCCTCCCTACACTGAACGGAGGAAGCGGAGTGTGGCTGAGATGGGCTAATATGAGCTCTGACTGTGAGAGGCTTCAATGTCCGGGAGCCTGATGAATTTTTCTCTCTGCAGGCCTGTGCATGATCGGATTGAGCGCTCAAACTAAGCAGGTTCCTACCGGCTCATTTTGCCAGCGTTAACCTGCTAACGCGTGTCGATCGCCGTCCCGCCGACACGGGCGGAATTCGATAGCAGGGCCCTGCTGGTATCCGGCAGGCCTTTGGCCCTTGCGGCGTGAGTTAATGTGCGGATCGGGGCCCCGGTCACAGCGCGTGCAGGAGTCCAGAGAGAGAGAGCTGTTACTAAACCTGCACATGCTCGGCTCCCTCGCTGACGACACGGCCTCACAGCTCTCAGCGGTCTGACAGAGCCGTGCAATCAGCAGCACGCTCCAAAAGTCACGCTCTACACGCGTGCCACTCACCTGCTGTCGAGTCTGTACGACCAACTGCAGTCATTAAATCACCATTTTAAACCAAATAACAGTGTTTCTAAGGGTAAGCAAACATTTGTGTTGCAGTATTCTCATAAAATTTTGGTTTTAGGGAACCCCCGCATAAAAAATGTATGCGTTTTTAACCTAAATCACAGCAACGTCCATCTGTGAAGGATGTAGGCTGTCAAACATACACAACTATTAGCCAGTGGACATTTACTTCCGAGTCTACAATCCACCACGCATATTCAAACAGAGCGGTCTGATGAGGGGGGTCAAAACAGGGCAGTAAATAGCCCATTACTTCTAAATTCTGATGTTTTTTTTGTTGTAAAAATCTTTATAACATTATAAGTGGACCTCAGAGAACAGTACAAAATAAACAAAGGCAGTTCATGACCCTTTTAAAATATTTTCCTTAAAACTTTGTGTGTGTGTGTGTGTGTGTGTACAATGTTTCTTTTGTGCCCAGAAGTTCTAGTTTTAGAATGGTTTTATGAATAACTTTCGCTTTATATAGTATATGGTCTTATATACTATTTATTTGCAGATTTTGCTCACCTGCTTTTAAATGGGTCCTATTATGCTTTTTCACTTTTTTCACTGGGACAGCTAACCAATCACAACACATTTCGTTTTTTTCGAAAGGCGGGCCTTCATTAAAACCCAGAACTAATCGAGCCGTTTGTGCCAGGCTGGGGAGAAAGGTATTTTAATAATGTAAATTATGTAGAAAATAATGCGTTTTTCGAACCACCAAGCATGAGAGCATGTTCTAGTACACCCCCAAAACAAAATCAAGACTTTGTAAAAGAGCATAATAGGACCCCTTTAAATAAACATCACATTGGTGATGTTTCTCTGGTGTGACTTTACTTGTCAAGTATTTTCAGTTGACTATTGTGAGTGCTTTAATTCTAAATCTCCATCATACATTTCTTTGTCCAGTTTTACATGAATGTAGTCTTCCATGGCATATTTCAGACTATTTCAGTGACAAGATATTAGGGCTGGGAGACATGGCCAAAAAACATATCTAATAATCTTGGTATTTTTTGGCTGAATTGCGATATACAGTATATATCTTGGTATTTTCAAAAAAAAATTTATTTGAATTAAAAAAAAACATTATTTATTAAAACAAATCTATATTTTTTTTTTTTAAAGATTGCAAATAAGGGTTAAAATGACATTACATTCCAACATTTTAACATTACAATCTAAAAACAAAAATAATGCTTTTTAAAGCATAAGTTCAGGACAAACTGGATTGTGCACTTTCCCTGCAGTAGCTAACTCGGTGTCCTCCGTTTTTTGTCAAATGCCCTTATATCAATCAAACTACTTTATATCGATATAAACAGTGTTGCCTCATTCCATATCATTTACTGTAAAAAAAATATTGATATATCATACAAGCTCGACATACTGCCCAGCCTTACTAGATATGATTACTAGATATATAAATGCACTCAATTTTACTGCTTCTCTCTTACTGTGTGACAGTGGCAGAAGAAGGGCTAATAGCAGAAAGCTTTATAGCGATAGCAACAGTAACTAAAAGGGTGGGTTTAACATAAGGTCATTTTAAAACTGAAGAGCGTGACCTTTTTTCTTTCTCAATTCCTCTCTGAATGTAAAGTGACTGGAAAGCCTGCTCTCCTGACAAAGCAGTGGCATTTTGTTCAACTTCTTTAAAAATCATAAATATGACTTTTTAAGACAACTTTTTCAATCAGTAAACCACCCATCTAAAACCAGATTTTTTTTTTTATGTGTATAGTTCTTGTCAAGCAGGAAATGAGGTGCTTGAAACTACCTTTTTGGTGATGGAGTCGTCTGAGTCAGAAGGCATGCGAGTCGACACATGGAAGATGACCTCCACGTTGGAGGTAGCGTAATATGGTGCTGTGCTACCTGTGCTGCCGTTTCTCTGCAAACCACCCATAAACCCACAGTGAGTGGCCAGATTCACCTGAAAGAGAGAGAGAAACTTCCTGATGCTCTGATAGTCTCAGGACATGACATCAGCTCACTACAGACATATTAAAGGGAAAGTTCACCCAAAAATGAAAATTTGATGTTTATCTGCTTACCCCCAGGGCATCCAAGATGTAGGTGACTTTGTTTCTTCAGTAGAACACATTTGATGATTTTTAACTTTAACCGTTGTAGTCTATCAGTCGTATAATGCATGGCAATGGTAACAAAATCTATGAGAGTAAAAAAAAACATGCACAGACGAATCCAAATTAAACCCTGCGGCTCGTGACGACACATTGATGTCCTAAGACATGAAACGATTGTTTTGAGCCAGAAACCGAACAGTATTTATATCATATTTTACCTCTAATACACCACTATGTCCAACTGTCTTTGGGCGCACGCACGGCATCCGGTGCGTGAGGTGTGTACGCGCTCAGGCGTAGTTTACGCAAGCGCCGGAAGTGATCTCTCGCGCGTATACGTCACTCATTGTTTACACAGTGCATAGTCATTGTAGGTACGACGGCTAATCAAAATGGTACTTACTTGCGCTTATCCGGATTGTTCAAACCGACTTAAAACTAAAAGATTACGTTCTCTTGTGCGAACTCATTCGGGAGTGGTGACTTTCCACGTATTCCCAACTTCTGAGCCTGCTCGCCTGAAGTTATGGTTGATTGCTCTTCGGCTGGATATCAACACACCCATTAACGTAAACTACGCCAGAGCGCGTACACACCTCACGCACCGGATGCCGTGCGCGCGCTCAAGGCAGTTGGACATAGTGGTGTATTAGAGGTAAAAAATTATATAAATACTGTTCGGTTTCTCGCACAAACCGATCGTTTCGTGTCTTAGGACATCAATGTGTCGTCACGAGCCGCAGGGTTTAATTTGGATTTGTCTGTGCATGTTTTTTTTACTCTCATAGATTTTGTTACCATTGCCATGCATTATACGACTGATAGACTGCAACGGTTAAAGTAAAAAATCATCATATGTGTTCTACTGAAGAAACAAAGTCACCTACATCTTGGATGCCCTAGGGGTAAGCAGATAAACATCAAATTTTCATTTTTGGGTGAACTATCCCTTTAAGTGGATTTGACGTGTTATTTCACCTCCCATCCCAGCCCAGAGACAAAGTCCTCATAGGCCTGACTGCCCTCTGCGTTGGACAGAATGGAGTATTTGTCCTCCTGGCCTTCTCCAATGTAGAACACGGCAATCTTGTGCGTCTCTCGACTGGAAGCAAAAACACACAAGAAGAACTGACATCATGCTAAACGTCAAGACATTTGAGGTGTCACCATATTTGATGTGGTCTGTGTATGTAATCAAAGCAGAGATCTCATTTCAAAGTCGAAATGGGATGCATCTGCGAAAAATTTGAAATGCCATAGCACAAGGGTCTGAATACTGATGCCATGTAATAGTTCAGTTTTTTTCTTTTTAATGAATTTGCAAAATGTTCACAAATTTGGTTTTGCTTTGTCATTACGGGGTATGGAGTTTAGATCAGTGTTATTTTAGTATCATTGAAATACTATTAGTATACTGAGATACTACATAAGCATTTAAATCACGACAACTCTCCTTGTCAATGTTCAATGTCAATGTTCCTGTGGCTCAGTGGTAGAGCATTGCGTTAGCAGCGCAAATGTCGTGGGTTCAATTCCCAGGGAACACACATACTGATAAAAAATGTATAGCCTGAATGCACTGTAAGTCGCTTTGGATAAAAGCGTCTGCTAAATGCATAAATTAAATTTAACTGAATTTAACTCTCTGAACATTTTAGCATGGTGATGGATATGACAATGTTAATGTATTTGGTCTTGGCGGAACAGATCTGCTACGCTGCTGCTGAATTGCTGCTGCTGTTGGTTATTGCTGTAGTTGTAGATTATTGCTGCTGCTGCAAGCAAGTACAGGAACTTGCTACTGCCAATGCATATGGTGATACAGTGCCCTGAGTATTTAAGACATGCTGCTGCTGCACAAATAGCATATAAAATAACCCGTAGTAGATCTATACAGGTGGAGCTGGGGAAGGTGGAGGGTTTCAGAGAACTCTGAAAGCGCGCTGCAGGAATCTCAAGTGAATGCTAGCCAGCCATATAAATGCAAGGCAGTAAGCTCATTGGCTGCATATGCAGCATTAACCAATCAGCTTGTGCCAAGTCGTTTAACTCTCTGAATATCATCAGTTACATTAACACCCCGTCAGAATGCGCCATCTAGAGTTTCATGACTGAACTATATATATTTTTGTTAATATCTTGAATGTTTTCTTTTTTCTTTTTTTTTTAATTTAAAAAAAATCACTTTTAATTAATTTTTTTGCAATTTTCTTAGATTTTTTAAAAATACGTCTTTGTATTTTTTTTGTTTTAGTTATTTACATTTAATTATTTTTTATAAAAAAATGCATATTGTTGCATATATAAATAAAATATATTTGCTTCATATTTTCAACTCTAAAATGTGTAAACAAACTGAGAAATGTATTTTAACTGTAATTTTAACTCTCAGCTAATAATTCTCTCTCTAAAGAACAGTTGTGATTTCTTTAAAACATGTAGTTAAGTAATAGGATGACCTCTGTTGTGCTCATGAAATCATATTTAATTACGTCGCGAAGGGCGAGGTGCTATCAGACTCTGATTATTAATGACAAAATAACCTTATAAAATTCATACACTACATGGTTGAATACAGTACATAGTGCATAAGTACATAGTGTATAAGTGCATAGCGCGTCATTTGGGATGCAGTTATTGTTTTATCATCAAAACACGCTTTATTAAATTACTTTTTGCAAAAAAAAAAAATGGTATAACTTTAAAGCTATTTGCTAATAAATCAAATCAAGGTATGCAGTGTGTATGTGTAAGGCGTGTGTGTCTCCTTGAGCAGTGTTGCTAAGGAAGCGTAATGCTCGTGCAGTGTGATGTTTGGCATGCTCAGTCAGCGGTTGCCATGAGTGGGCCGGCTATGCATGCGGAGGGTAACGGTGGCCCGATCCTGGGGGTATTCTTTAATAAGCCTCTGTAATTAGCCACTCTGAGCGCCTATTGATCGCTGTTGGCTGAGAAGTGTGGAGCTGTGATCAGCCAGACATGGGCAGGATTAGGCCATGAGGAGCGGAGTATCTGAGAGTGGTCTTAAGACATGTCTCCTTAATAGTGCTTTTAAAGGATTTAGCTACTCTCTGTAGACTGGCATTAGGCTGCATGATTGAGCTCTCCAAATGCATGCTGTTGTTTGCTGCTGATTTTTAGTGTTAAGTGCCGAGGAGTTAGGCAGGAAGTTACGATTATGTTTTCATGTCGCTGATTTACTTGGTATGTGATTATCTGTATGGAACTTTAAGGCACGGACATCAGAAACGAGCAGAAACCCTTACCATTGACTTGAGTCCAAATTCTTCAGCTCTCTCAAGAGCTTGGAGTTCTTCTTTAGAAGATGAAAGCTTTTTCTACGAAGAGAAAAAGAAATGGAACAGTCATAAAAACCAGGAATAACTTTCCAAAAGATAAATGGTGAGACACAGGCGAAATCACTCAATTTGTAATAATTTTTTCAATGTTAAAATATTTTCTTCCATCCTAGTTCAACTAAAGTAAAAAAAGGTCTGCAGGTTTACTCTGAAAACCGTAAACACTGTGACCCCATAGTATCATAACAATGCTTGGGATTAAAAATTACAATTCTAGAAAAATAAATAAATAAACAAACAAATCTAAAATATGTAGAACTCATGCAATTATATTCACACATTTTGTGGCATGCTCATATATTCTGATATGCAAAGAGGCCCTCAAGAAAAAAAAAGATACTCAAACATTTTCACCACTTACTCAAAATCACATAAAAGAGAACATTAGTGGAATGTCTAAGCTGCTCTTTTCCATTCAGAAAGAACAAAAAGGCACCATAAAAGTAGATTTATGGAAAGTATATTATTTAACCATTGTTTGAACTGTCAGAGCTCTTCCTCTCTCAAACATTATCATAGTAATTTAAGTAATCCAAAAATCATAAAAAAACAAAAAAAAAACAATGGCAAAAACAAAAGACATGGGACTTTAGAAAGTGTCCACCTGTCCTGAAGCCTAACTCAATCAAAGTGAAAGAATAAAAACCTATAAATACTTGGAGACTGTTATTCATTATTATTTTCTTATTAATGGAACACAGACATTATTTTTTTGGCTCAGAATTGATCTACAGAAGATGCTTGTAGAAAAACTATGTTTTATAGAGTTTTATTGAGTCTTTGTGATTAACAAAAAAAAAATTATAATAAAAATAAAACCCTTGATCTAGTCAAATTATCAGATGAGACGAGCACAGGTACTATCTATCTATCTATTAGAAGAAATTAATAAGAAGAAATGTTTCTGGAGCAGTGAATCAGCATATTAGAATTATTTCTAATATAGTAAGTAAAGGCTGCTGAAATTTCAGCTTTACCATCACAGGAATAAATTATTCCACGGTTTTCACTATTATTTTAAAAAATATATTCAAATAGAAAACTACAGTGACGCATTGCTGCCACACACATTATCTTTTCCACTCAATTATGTCGTAATAAGGACATGCTATGTCATTAAAACGACAATTATCTTGTGAAAACTACGTTTTCTTCTAATAATGTGATGTTATATCGTTAAATCAACATATCTTCTAATGATAATGGGATATGTCGTTTAAATTACATAATTATCTCATTAAAATGACATTTTCGCATAACGAGATGTCGTTAAAAAGACAATTATCGTGTGAAAAAGTTTTTTTGTAAGAGAAATAAAGAGAAAAGACAAACAGTTTGATTATTATAAAAAAAAATTTTCATAAAAAAAAAAAAAAACTTTAATATTTGTTTAATATTTTTTTCACATACGGGGGCAGCCCTGAAACGCCA